TCTCCTCTATCCATCTTCTATCCGCCTCCCACTCTCTCCCTATTTATTTCAGAACCCCCTTCCCCTCCCACATTTCTGATGAAGGGTCTCGGCCCGAAACGTCAGCCTTTCTGCTCCTATGATGCTGCTTGGCCTGCTGTGTTCATCCAGCTCTGCACCTTGTTGCCTTGGATTCTCCAGCATCTGCAGTTCCTACTATCACACATACCATCAAGCTGGATATGAGCACTAGTCCAAAGAAGAATGCAGGAGGGCATTCTAGAAGCAGCACCAGGCACAACTAAATATGAGGCATCAACCCAGTGAAGATACAACACAGGACTACTTGCACACCAAACAGCAGAAGCTGGATTAGACAATGCTAAATGCTTCCACAACCAGTTGATCAGATTTAAACAAAGCAGTCTCACCACATCTGGCTGTGAGTGATGGTGGACAAATAAATAATTAACAAGAAGAGAGGACTCCACAAATGCCCTCATCATGGAAGGGTCCAGCACAACAGTCCAAAAGACAAGACTGAAGTTTGGCACCTGTCTTCAGCCAGAAATTCCAAGGAGGTGATCCATCTTAGTGTTCTATTGAGGTCCCTGACATCAATGTCAATGAGTTTGATTCACACCATTTGTTATGAATAATGGCTGAAGGCACTGGATATTGCAAAAGCAATGGAGTGTGATAATATTCCAGCAATAGTACTGAAGACTTGTGCCCCAGATCTAGTTATGCCTCTAGCAACGCAGTTCCAATATACCTGCAACAAACTGGCACCTGCCCAGTAATGTGAAAAACAGTTCAGGTGTGATCTGTCCATAACATGCAGGACAAATCCAACCAGGTCAATTTTGTCTACTTTTGACCATCAGCAACATGTTTGAAAGGGTCATTGACAGCTCTATCAAGAGACACTTCTGCAGTCATATCCTGCCAACTTCTCCTGGTGAATGCTAATGTTTATGTGTGAAGCATAATTATCTGTATTGTGTAACTCATGCAGCAAAAGAGTAGTTGGCCACTCCTGGGGGTAGTTAGATATTGCAATTAGACAACACTGCTTTGAAGCGCCCCTTAAACTCACGGCTTTTGCTTGTGTTCTTTGTCAGGGCTTCATTGAGTAGTCTATGCTGAAGCAGGTTCTTGGGTATTGCAATGAACCTTTACTTTCTTCCCTCTTCTCCCTGGGCTAAAGAGGGGGGAAATGATTGATCAGGGTTCCCATTTCTAATTACAGCACAGTGGCCTCTACTGGAGACTGAGTGAGTGAACGTGTACATTTAATATGTGTATGTGTAACTGTACGTGTTTATGTGAATGTGAATGTCTTTGTACACATGCAAGTATGTGTGTGTTTGTGACTGCATATTTTCAATTGTATGTATGTATGTATGTATGTGCATGTGTGTAGCCATTGGTGAGATTCAGGCCCTGCTGTATTGCCTCTCAGCCTCTTATCTCCAGTCTCTCACAGTTATTCACTCCATTTTACCTGCTGTGCTCGAGACCAACAAAAGACGACTATCTACAATAGAGCTAAACTGCAATTGGTTCAATATTCATTAGTTAGGGAGTAGAAAGATCAGCGGGGACTTTCACCTCTGATTGCTGCCCACAATTTTGCTGGAAAGTGCATTTCTTAGCCATTGCGAAAGGATTGCAATGATTTTCTCCATAGTCTTCTTCATAGTCAAATAGCACAGCAACACTATTAAAGCTCACCATTATGGAATGGGAAAATACTGGAGGCAGTTGGGGCCTGTGTTATGGTATACCAGTGAAACAGATAAAAGGAAATCAGTGGATTAAGACAGAGAACATGTCAAAACATAGAGCATACATAGGTTCATAATGTAACATTGCTCTTAACTACCTTGAAAACACAGTTGTTTGGTTACTCAGTTGTTGAGTGAAGTGCTAAGCAAAGTTTGCGTGTGACTCTCACCTCCTTTCCCGGGAAAATCTCAAACAGTCGGGGCCTCACCAGGTTAATCCAAATTTGATTCTTGCCTTTCTAGCTCACTGCTGCTTTCTCCTTCATTGTTGCCAATAGTTCCATCTGAGTTCACTTTATGAAAATCACTGGCTGTAAACAATGCCAGACTGGTTTTTCCTCTTGTGGAATGAAGAAATCTGATGCTCAGAGTTCGCAACACCCAAAATTATGAAAATACACTGGCACTTCATTGATAACAAGGTGTAGAGCTGGATGAACACAGCAGGCCAAGCAGCATCAGAGGAGCAGGAAGGCTGACGTTTCGGGCCTAGACCCTTCTTCAGAAATGGGGAAGGGAAAGGGGGTTCTGAAATAGATAGGGAGAGAGGTTGAGGCGGATAGAAGATGGACAGAGGAGAAGATTGGTGGAGAGGAGATTTACAGGTCAAAGAGGCGGGGATGGAGCCAGTAAGGGTGAGTGTAGGTGGGGAGGTAGGGAGGAGATAGGTCAGTCCAGGGAGGACAGACAGGTCAAGGGGGCGGGATGAGTTTAGTAGGTAGGAGATGGGGGTGGGGCTTGAGGTGGGAGGAGGGGATGGATGGGAGGAAGGACAGGTTAGGGAGGCGGGGACAAGCTGGGCTGGTTTTGGGATGCGGATGGGGGAGGGGAGATTTTGAAGCTTGTGAATCCACATTGATACCATTGGGCTGCAGGGTTCCCAAGCGGAATATGAGTTGCTGTTCCTGCAATATTCGGGTGGCATCGTTGTGGCACTGCAGGAGACCCAGGATGGACATGTCGTCTGAGGAATGGGAGGGAGAGTTGAAATGGTTCGCGACTGGGAGGTGCAGTTGTTTAGTGCGAACCGAGCGTAGGTGTTCTGCAAAGCGGTCCCCAAGCCTCCGCTTGGTTTCCCCGATGTAGAGGGGGCCACAACGGGAACAGCGGATGGAGTATACCACATTAGCAGATGTGCAGGTGAACATCTGAAGAAGTTACCCTCCTCCCTCCGGAAAAACCTCAGTGAATCTCCCACTGCAAATCTCTCGTAATCTCTTCGGCCTTGAAACTGCTCGACCACCTACGTTCGGTTCGCACTAAACAACTGCACCTCCCAGTCACGAACCATTTCAACTCCCCCTCCCATTCCTCAGATGACATGTCCATCCTGGGCCTCCTGCAGTGCCACAACGATGCTACTCGAAGGTTGCAGGAACAGCAACTCATATTCCGCTTGGGAACCCTGCAGCCCAATGGTATCAATGTGGACTTCACAAGCTTCAAAATCTCCCCTCCCCCTACCGCATCCCAAAATCAGCCCAGCTCGTCCCCGCCTCCCCAATCCGTCCTTCCTCCCACCTTCCCCTCCTCCCACCTCATGCCCCACCCCCATCTCCTACCTACTAACCTCATCCCGCCCCCTTGACCTGTCCGTCTTCCCTGGACTGACCTATCTCCTCCCTACCTCCCCACCTACACTCACCTTTACTGGCTCCATTCCCGCCTCTTTGACCTGTCTGTCTCCTCTCCACCAATCTTCTCCTCTATCCATCTTCTATCCGCCTCAACCTCTCCCCCTTCCCCTCCCCCTCCCCCATTTCTGAAGAAGGGTCTAGGCCCGAAACGTCAGCCTTCCTGCTCCTCTGATGCTGCTTGGCCTGCTGTGTTCATCCAGCTCTACACCTTGTTAACTCAGATTCTCCAGCATCTGCAGTTCCTACTATCTCTGGCACTTCATGGATGCCCAGTTTTGAGTTGCTAGGTCTGTTTAAAGTCTGTTCCATCCAGCAGAGTGGCAGTACCAGACAACACAATGGAAGGTATCTTTGAGTCATAAAGTTGTACAGCATGGAAACAGACCTTTCGCTCCAACTTGTCCATGCTAACCTGATGGCCTAAATTAATCTAGTCCCATTTGCGAGCATTTGGCCCACATCCCTCTAAACCCTTCCTATTCATATGCCCATCCAGATGCCTTTTAAATGTTGTAATTGTACCAACCTCTACCACTTCCTCTGGCAGCTCATTCAATACTTGCATCATTGTTTTTCTGAAAAAGTTGCCCCATAGACCCCTTTTAAATCTTTTCCCTTTCACCTTAAACCTATGGTCTCTACTTTTCAACACAACTACCCTGGAAAAAGACCTTGGATATCTATGCCCCTCATGATTTCATAAGCATCTGTAAGGTCACACCTCAGCCTCCAATGCTCCAACCTATTCAGCCTCTCCCTATAGCTCAAATTCTCCAACCCTACCAATTTTGGTGTCATCTGCAAACCTATTAACTATTCCTTCAATATTCACATCCAAATCATTTATATAAATGACAAAAAGCAGTGGACCCAGCATCAATCCTTGTGGCAGACCACTGGCCACAGGCCTCCTGTCCGAAAAACAACCCTCCACCACCATCCTCAAGCCAATTTTGTATCCAGATGGCTAGCTTTCCCTGGATTCCCTGTGATCTAACCTTGCTAACCCTTGTCGAATGCCTCACTGAAATCCATGTAGGCAAAATTCTCCGCTCTGCCTTCATCAATTTGCTTTGCCACTTCTTGAAAAACTCAATCTAGTTAGTGAGCCACAATTTCCACATAGAAAGCCAATTTTGACTATCTCTGATCTGTTCTTGTCTTTCCAAATACATGTAATTTCTGTCTATTAGTATCCTTTCCACTGACATCCTGCTCACTGGTCTATAATTCCCTGGCTTATCCTTGCCACCCTTCTTAAATAATGGCACCACATTAGCCATTCTCCAGTCTTCTGGCACCTCACTCATGGCTATCAATGATACAAATATCTCAGCAAGGGGCCCAGCAATCATTTACCTAGCTTCCCACATAGTTCAAGGAAATACTTGAACCGGTGTTGGAATTTATCCACTTTTATGCGTTTTAAGATGTTCAGTACCTCCTCCTTTTAATGTAGACACTTTTCAAGATATCACTATTTATTTCTCCAAGGTCTCTAACTTTCATGTCCTTCTCCACAGTAATTACTGACACAAAATACTCGTTTAGTATCTCGCCCATCTCCTGAGTTCCACACACAGATGGCCTTATTGATTTTTAAGGGCCCTATTCTCTACTGTTTTGTCCTTAATGTATTTGTAGAATCTCTTTGGATTCTCTTTAACACAAATGCCAAGGCTATCTCATGTCCCCTTTTTGCCCTTCTGATTTCCCTCTTGAGTATACTCCTACGGCCTTTATATTCCTCAAGGATTTCACTCAATCCCAACTCTCTATACCTACCATATGCCTCCTTTTTCTTGACTGGAGCCTCAATTTCTCGAGTCATCCAGCATTACCTATACCTGCCAGCCTTGTCCTTCACCCTAACAGGAATGTACTACCTCTGGATTCTCATTATCTCAATGAATTCTATGTAGTGTATACTCAAAATGCACAATGTGTACCATCACTTGAAATGATCTAAGATACTGACTGTTTTGCTGGTTACATGCAATCATCACTCAGCAGGAAACTGACAACAATAATCTTTGGGCATGTGGGTATACTGTGGCTGGAACCCTGTTTTCTCCACCCTCACAGTAGTATAAGGCAGCAGCAAAAATGGAAGAAAGTACAATTCACCCTTCATTGCAGGAATAATACAAAATGTGGGAAGTGCTGTGGTGCTAACTACTACCAACTTGTCAATGGAATCATTTGATGCCACCATCCTTGTTTCTTGACTGGCTCTGAGGGCCTATTTGACTTACAGTGGTACAGGAAAACCATAGGAGTCTTAACAAGAAATGATGCCTACATTATTCAGACAATGATGGTTTGGAGACATAGGATAACCAATCTGTCTCCCACAAGATCTGAAGATGTTCAACCTTTTCCCAACTCAAATGCATATGACATCAACAGGTTGGTTGGAGCTTAATGCAGTCTCCAAACTTCAGAACCATTACCTTGTAAAGTACAACTCATAATCCATTAGAAAACCAAAATATCAGAAATATGTGTAGAATGTTCAATTTTATTAAATGATTAAAATCTTATTGACTAACGCAACAGCAGCTATAGCTATCAGAATAGCTGTAAGAGAGGCCCTGGTAATGAGTGTAAGTAGCCGCTATTGTAGCGTAGCAAGATTCAGTCAATTCCGTCATTCTGATCTATGAGAAACATTCCATTTAAACTGGGTAATCAAGGAACAGGAAAAACCAAAGTAAATTAACAAAAGGAAGACTGAGTAATGGCATACAGAATGAACTTCTAATTTTGCTAAAGAATACAAAAAATAGGAAATTATTTAAAAAGCACGTGGATGTGGTCAAGACAAGCTGTTAAATCTTTCTGAATAGAGGAACTAAATTATGTATGGTAGCTTTCCTCCATACCCCTATGTCTCTTATTCACAGTGAATTAAGAGAAGAGAAAAAAAGCCTAAGATAAGCTCAATGGTCAATAAGGATGAAACGAGTTGCTGAACTGCTTATCCACCTTATTGAACTGATGTAGGTAAATAGCAGAGGGTGTTTGAAAGAGGAGAAGGAGGATTTCTTTGTAAAAAGCTACACCAATAAATTTTATGCAACATTTTCTTATTCAAAGAAGAGTTGGAAAAATGCAAGCAAGGTTTCCAAAACCTAATTTACATGTGTTTCTATTTGCTTTAGAAATTTAAAAACAAGTTAATCAAAATGACACCAGTCTTTGGTGGCCGGTTATATTATTAAATTTAGCTGGTCAGATATACAAATCGCAATTTAAATGTATGACTGATATTAAACATGGAGGCTGTGAACTTTGTCTCTAGAATGCTTCCTTTTTTCAATTCCATGGATTACTATATATCTCCAAAATTAGATTGATCTGTGTGCACATTTCCAGTACTGGACTACATTTTGAAGGCTTTTGACTTAGCTGATTCTCCTCCCTGAACCTCAGTGAGGATCAGCGTTGCCAGATATTTCTGCTTCATGCAGAAGGTTCTCACCGAAATCTGCCACCTGCTACAGCCTCAGTCACAATCTCATATGCAAGGTGGTGACAGCACTGCCAGTGTGGTTGTGAAGGTGACTATGGTCATAAACTTTGAAAATAGCTGGCATCCTTCCAGGCTGGAGATGGTGATCTTTGCAACATCTCTGGGTCCACCACCTACTGTTGCCCAAGGGAAATCATTGAGTCTCAGTATTCCAAGGCATCTCAGTATATGTCAACAGGTGGGCTCATGGCTTCAAGAAAATTGCAGTTTTCTCTATGGGGCAGACTTTCACTGACTGAGTAATGTTGTGTAAATGCTGTGATGTAGTGGAACCAAATGATGTGCCACTCCTTCAGTGACTGGCTGGTATGTGACCACACATAGCATAACATATAGGTGACTGGTTGCTATCCTGGCAGCACTTATGATGTCTTCGTTCTGCACTGTCTGCTCTGTTATCTGCATTTGAGCTACCACAAAGAACGAAAAGCATTGCTATTTATTGAAAAGAGATATTCGTTAACCGCACGGTAATGATACCAGTGTGCAATTCACTCACATATGGGAAGCATATGAGCAACAGTCAGGATTTATTCTGAAGCCTAATTGCTCTTTCAACACCCACAATGCTGTTAGGGAGTTCCAGGTAATCGCAATCACACTGACATGCAAAACATGATTGAGCCAAGCATTTAGGGTGCTTATGCAATGCTTCCAGTGTCTGCAATACTCTAGAATGACAAAAGAATTAAGAGCAGGAGTTGACCGTACAGACCCAAAAGGCTTCTCAGCCATTCAAATACAATCATGGCTCCACTTGCCTATCTTTTCTTCAAATCTCTACGTTCCCTCAGAGACCAATAATTTCAGCATCTCATCCTTAACTACGCCCAGTGATGGAGCATCTGCAGATCTCTGACACAAAAAATTTCAAAGACTCAAGAGCCTCAGAGAAAAGAACTTTTTTTTCTAGTGACTATTCTGCCAGGTCCAAGGTTCTCCAGCAAGGGTAGAGTCCGTTGAGTATAAGCCCAATTTACCCTCTACATTACTCAGTCGAGCTTGTGGCATGTTTCTGCATACTGAGTAACTTTGCCATCATAAGAGTCAACAGCCCTTGTCGCCAAATATGTGATGACTGAAGAACAGGAGGAGGAGGAAGAGAAAGCAAAATAATAAAAAAAGGGAGAAATCAACATAGGCCTTTCTGGCAAGTATCATGACGATGTAAAATATATACATAAAAACATAGGAAATAGGTGCAGGAGTAGGCCATTCAGCCCTTTAAACCTGCACCACCATTCAATATAATCATGGCTGATCATGCAATCTCAGTATCCCATTCCCAACCTCTCCCCAATCCCTTGGTCCACACCCAGCTCCCTCTTGAATATATCTAATGAATTGGCCCCAACAGCTTCCTGTGGGAGAGAGTTTCACAGTTTCTCAACTCTCTGAGTGAAGAAATTCTTCCTCATATCAGTCCTGAATGACTTACCCCTTATTCTTAGACTGTGACCCCTAGTTATAGACTTCCCCCAACATCGGGAACAATCTTCCCACATCTAGCCTGTCCGGTCCCATCAAGATTTTACATGTTTCTATGAGACACCCCTCTTTCTTCTAAATTCCAGTAAACACAAGCCCAGTTGATCCAGTCTTTCCTCATATGTCAGACCTGCCATCCCGGGAATCAATCTAGTGAACCTTTGCCGGACTCTCTCAATAGCAAGAATGTTCTTCCTCAGACTTGGAGACCAAAACTGCACACAATACTCAAGGTGTGGCCTCACCAAGGCCCTGTATAACTGCAGCAAGACATCGTTACTCCAATACTCAAATCGTCTTGCTATGAAGGCCGGCATGCCATTAACTTTCCTCACTGCCTGCTGCACCAGCATGCTGACCTTCAGCGACTGTTCCACCATGACACCCAGATCTCGTTGCACCTCACCTTTTCCTAAACTGCCAACATTCAGATAACAATCTGCCTTTCTGTTTTTGGGACCAAAGTGGACAACATCACTATTTGCCCACTCAGCCAATCTGTCCAAGTCACCCTGCAGCCTCTTGGCATCCTCCTCACAGCACACATTGCCACCCAGTTTAGTGTCATCAGCAAATTTGGAGATGTGGCATTCAATTCTTTCATCCAAATCATTAATGTATATTATGAACTGCTGAGATCCCAGTACAGAGCCCTGAGGTACCCCACACGTCACTGCCTGCCATTCTGAAAAGGACCCATTTATTCCAAGATTCTGAAGAAGGGTCCCGGCCTGAAACGTCAACTTTCCTGCTCCTCTGATGTTGCCTGGCCTGCTGTGTTTCTCCAGCTCCATACTGTGTTATCCCATTTATTCCAACTCCCTGTCTGTTAAACAGTTCTCTATCCGTGTCAATCCATTACCTCTGATACCATGAGATTTAATGTTCCTTACTAATCTCTAGTGTGGAAATTCATTAAAACTCGTTTGAAAGTCCAGATACATAACATCTACTGATTCACTCTTGTCCACTTTACTGGTCACATCTTCAAAAAATTCCAGAAGATTTGTCAAACACATTTTCCCTTTAGTGAATCCATGCCTATGAGGACTGATTCTGTCACTGATTTCGAAATACTCATTCACTACATTCTTAATAATTGACCTGCATTTTCCCCACCACTGATGTCAGGCTAAATGGCCTATAATTCCCGATTTTTTCTCTCCCTCCTTTTTTACAGAGAGGGATTATATTAGCTAACCTCTAGAGTCTACAGAATGCTGGAAAATGACGACCAATGCATTCGCTATTTCTAAGGCCACTTTCTTCAGTACTCTGGGATGCAGAGCATCAGGCCCTGGGAATTTATTGGGTTTTAATCCCATCAATTTCCCCAATACTATTTCCTGACTATTAAGGATTTCCTTCAGTTTCTGCTTCATGCTTCACCCTCTGTCCCCTAGAATTTCCTGAAGATTATTTGTGTCCTCCTTAGTGAAGACAGATAAAAGTATTTGTTCAACTGATCTGCCATCTCTTTGAAGTCCGTTATAAATTCACCTGATATGGACTCTAAGGGCCCTGCATTTGTCTTCACCAGTCTTTTTCTTTTCACGTACCTATAGAAGCTTCCGCTGATTTTCAAATTTCATTATGTGATCAATACATTGAATCTCCATGTACTGAAATAGTATTTAAAAGTCACCAAAACATTGACTTACCATGGCCACAGCAATCACCTGGCCATACAAGTTGACTAAGTTTCATAATAATAACATGGAATAAACAAAAGACTGTCTGAACTGAAATTAACACTTTATCCAAAGGCAAGGAATGGCATTAACCCCTCCCATGGAGGTGTAAAGGGACACTCATCCTCTATTTTGATTTACATCTTTATGAGAATGTTCATAAGTTGTTGATGAAAATATCACCTGCAAGTATCAAGAAATTTAGATATAGAAATGAACTGACAAGCCTATATTTCAAGATGTTCATTTTTTGCAGAAGCAGAAGGGATGAAACAAAGGATGCAAAACGTTACACAGGCTGGCAACTTTTTCTGTATGTCTCTGGAGATAAAAAGTGCCTAGTGGCAATATAGAAGATTGCAAGGAAATATCAGAATATCATGAATGTAAAGAATATCTGCAAGCTTTGCTACTGCTCATGGTTTAATACATCAACTAAATAACTGCTAAAATCTTACGTCACAAGAACATCAACAAGATTCTAAACTATATCTTTAAGTCATCATTTTTGTACATAATACCATCTACTTTTTAACTTTGTATGAGTACGTGTGTGTCTGTGGATTGAGTGTGTGTGAGTGAGATTGCCCAACGGCTGTAAGTTTGACATTATGTCTACTATTTTTCTTGGATTTAGCAAGTAATAAGAATTTTTTTATACTCAAGAAAACCTTGTGTTTGGCTCCTGACTGCTACAGTAGAAATTGATTAGCTATATTTTAATTGGAGAGAGGTTCAACCTTGTATTAAAAACAACATAAATCATTGTTGCAGACACCACGTTGTAAAGAGGTGAACCAATTCACCCCTCCTCACATTGTCATAGACAGGGCAATGATCAATTTATAAAACTGTATTAGCAATGAACACAACTTCATTTCCGCAACCATCAACAATCTCAGATCTGATGTGCTATCTGCTATAGGCCATCACTTTCTCCACTAAGCCACAAAGTTGAAATAAAAATCACCACGAAACAAACATTCCCAAACAAATTTATAAATCACACGCTGTAGTATATATATGTAATTTGGTTATCATTCCCTTACGAATGTTGTTTGAAGTATATTTGCATCCAGGCAAGATGTCATAGCTTCTCTTCCAAGTAGAGTAAAAGATACAATGGGATTTTTCCACTGATCTGCTATGGAGGCAGGGAGAGGAATTCCAACATAGCAGCATGCTCAGTGGTTGTGGGTGTTCCCTCTGTGGTGCAGGTGCATTTTCGTCATTTGGGTGTGGCCAACAGTAAGCATCAGATTTCTTCATACCACAAGAAGAAAAGCCAGTCTGGCATCGTTTACAGCCAGTGATTTTCATAAAGTGAACTCTTATGAAACTATGAACAACAATGAAGGAGAAAGCAGCAGTGAGCTAGAAGGGCAAGAATCATATTTGGATTAACCTGGTGAGGCCCGACTGTTTGAGATTTTCCCGGGAAAGGAGGTGAGAGTTACTGCAAACTTTGTTTAGCTCTTCACTTAACAATTGAGTAACCAAACAACTGAAATGTGACTGTGGTTTCAAGGTAGTTAAGGGAGACGTTACATTACAAACCAAAAGTTCTCTATGCTTTGATATGTTCTCTGTCTTAACCCATTGATTTTCTTGTATCTATTTCACTAGGATACCATAACACAGGACTAACTGCCTCTAGTATTTTCCCACTTAACCATTCCATAATGGTGAGCTTTAATAGTATCTGTGCTGCTTGACATTGGAGGGGATCACTGCAGACTTTCTCAATGACCAAGAAATACTCTTTCCAGCAAAATTGTGGTGATAATTGCAGGTGAAAAACCTTAGTGAGATTCTGCTCTACAAGTAAGGAACATTGAAACCAAATGCAGCTTAATTCAATTGTAAACTGTCACCTTTATTTGCTTTAGATAGTGTAGTGGAGCAGAAACTGATTTGTTTGAGCCTAGAGAGGAGAAGCTGTAAGAAATTACAGCTGGGCCTGAATCTCACCAACACACTTTCACATTTGTACACACGACTACATATTCACACATAAATATATATATATGTACACGCACACACAAACACACACATACATACACATAAGAAAACCTGACACAATCTTACAAATGCAAATTCACACATACAGTCATATGCACACCCGCACATATATACAGATGATTACACATTCACACTCACTCATTCTCCAGTAGAAGTCACGATGTTGTAATTAGAAATGGAAATTTTGATCAATTCTTTTCACACCTCATTAACCCAGGAAAGGAGCGAAAAGAGTAAAGGTCCGTTGTAATGCCCTAGAACTTGCTTCATTTTAGGGTAATCAATGCAGCTTTCACAAAGAACACAAGCAAAGAGCCCGGGTTTAGGTAATGTTTTAACGGAGTGTTGTTTAAATGCAATCTCCACCTTACCACAGACATCGCTAGTCAACTCATTTGCTGCATAAATTACACACTATAACAGATAAATACGCCTCATAAGTACACTTACTTAATCGCTAGAAAAGCTTTTATCATGTGAAATTAGCAGCTACATCTGCTGAACAGGAAATATTTTGTAATCTCAAAAGCAATTACAGAGTTAGGTTAGAGTCCAAAGGAAAGAAAGAATGGGTTGAGGAGAGTTAATGGCTGGTGGGAATCAGAGGATCATAGGTGAAATAACTCCACAGAGGCCAGTAATCTGTCAACAAGTCACCCTTTATTTACACACGGAAAGTCCTTGACACTGATCCAGGTCCGTCAGAGCTCTCAGAGTGAACAGAACCTCTGACACTCCTGTTCATATCTGTCAGCCAGGGACCCCTGATTGGACCAGATTAACAGCCCCAATTGGGCTACACATATTCTATGAAGCCCACCTGGGTGACCTCATTAAAATCACTGCATCCCTCTTTCTCTGAGTCGAAGGACATAGGTCGACTATGTATGGACTTTCTGTAATAATTCACCACCCCAAGGAAAGACCTAAGCTCAGATACAGACATGGGAGCCGGGACACCTTTGATTGCCCTCACTTTATTTTCCAACAGGTTTAATGTCAACTCTGTAGCCCAAGTTGGTCACTTGGGGTGCCTGGAGTACACGTTTTTCCCTTCTAAGGTGTATGCCCACCTGGGAGAAATATCTAAGGACTGTATCCAAATTCTTTAAGTGCTCCTTATTGGTCTTCCCTGTTATTAGCATGTCATCTGAGATAGACCTTCTGAAATATTCTCCATCATCTGCTGAAAAGTTGCACAGGCTGATGATACCACAAATGGCAGTCTTGTATATTGGTGCAAACCCTTATGGGTATTAATTATAGCGTGCTTCTGGCTATTTTCATCTAGCCACAAATGAAAGTGTGCATGGTTCATGTCCAGCTTCATGAAGAACTGCCTCCAGCCAGCTTTGTCTATAAATCCTCTGTGCGAGGGATTGGGTATCTGTCCAGCTGCGATAAGTGGTTTACTATTTTATTAAAATCCCCACAAAGGCGAACCTACCCGTCAGGCTCCACAATCGGCATGACCATTGCTACTCATTCCGTAAACTAGACTCATTTGATAACTCCTTCACTCTCCAGCCTTCTGATTTCTGCCTCTACTTATGCCCATAAGGTACATGGCACTGGGTGGGCCTTGCAGAATCCTGGAATTGCTTCCTGGTCAACATGCAAGGTGACTTTGGCTCAGTTAATAGTCCCTAGACTTTCCTGATTAAAGTTCGGGCATTTATGGAGTCATAGAGACATGCAGCAAGGAAACAGACCCTTCAGCCCAACCTGTCCATGCCGAATATAATCCCAAACTAAACTAGACCCACCTGCCTGCGCCTGGCCCATATCCCTCCAAACCTTGAAGGGTCTAGGCCCGAAACGTCAGCCTTTTTGCTCCTATGATGCTGCTTGGCCTGCTGTGTTCATCCAGCTCTGCACCTTGTTGTCTCGGATTCTCCAGCATCTGCAGTTCCTACTATCTCATGTACTTATCTAAATTTCTTTTAAATGTTGTAATTAGAATAGAATACAATAGCATCCCTACTGTGTGGAAGCAGGCCATTCAGCCCATTGAGTCCTCACTGACCCTCTGAAGATCATTCCACCCTGACCCAACCGGTCCCTGTAACCTTGCATTCCCCATGGCAAATCCACCTAACCTACATATGCCTGGACACTATGGGCAATTTAGCTTGGCCAATCCACCTAACCTGCATATCTTTGAACTGTGGAAGGAAAGCAGAGCACCCAGAGGAAACCCACGCAGACACGGGGAGAACTTGCAAACTCCACACAGACAGTTGCCCAAGGCTGGGATCAAACCTGGGTCCCTGGTGCTGTGAGGCAGCAGTGCTAACCACTGAGCCACTGTGCTGCCCACATTGTGCCCACATCCTCTGGAATTCATTCCACCACAAATCACTCTCTGTGTAAAAATTTGGCCCATATGATTTTTTAAAATCACTTTTCTTTCACCTTAAAAATGTGTCCCCTGATCTTGAAATCTCTTATCCTAGGGGAAAAAAGCACCTACCATTAACCCTCTCTGTACACCTCATGTTTTTATAAATTTCTATAAAGTCACCTCTCAACCTCCTACACTCCAGTGAAAGAAGTCCCAGCCTATCTAGCCTTTCCTTATAACTCAAACCATCCATACCTGGCAACATTGTGCTAAATCTCTGCTGAACGCTCTACTGCTTAATATCCTTTCTACAATCAGGTGACCAAAACTGGACACTGTACTCCAGTAAAGGCCTCACCAATGTCCTGTACAACCTCAACATGATTTACCAATTCCTATACTCAAAGGACTGAGCAATGAAAGCTTCAATTAAGACTTCCCTCATACAGCTATTTTCTAATTGAAAAATGTTGAGCCAATCAGTTGAATCTTTTTCAACCAATTTTGCACCATCAAGCTTGGGCCTGAGCCTTTTACTACAATCAGTTGTAACTGAGCCAGGTGCTTCTCATAAGAGACTGGAACTGAAATTGTACCCTTAATCTGTAGGTGTTCCCTGATATAGGTTCTCAGTCTAGCCAATGTCTTGTGCAAACTCAAGGGTTGGAGTCCAGAGTGAATTTATTTAAGACTGACTCTGTGACCACTGAAACTGCCACACCAATATTGGCGTCCAATAGAACCAGGTGACCATTTGACCAGATGTTTATTTTCATTGGTTGTGATTTGGAGGTAGCTTAGCAATTTAACTGTTCCAAACCAGAAATAGGTGGACTTTCCAGGGTGTGTGCTCTCCTGGGTACTGGCCTGTGAGTTCTCTTACTCCATTTAGATCTAGTTGGGACTCTTTTGGTGTCTTGAGTTCACAGATCAGCAGCAACTACAATGGCTTGCTGGCCTGGATCCTGAAGAAAATGTTAACAGCTTGGTATGTTTTGGAGTTTTGCTGTGGACTGACCTGGAGTCCCTCTGGTCAGGCTATGTCCTGAATGAAGCTATGCAATTGCCTTCACTCAAGTGATGTACCCCAAACTCAGTCACACTGGTAAGAGTGTCCACTTCCACCGGAATACCCTATAACTCATACGGTCCACTTGCCACGCTTTCCAATGATAAAGCCAGTTGTAGTGCCTGTTTGAAATCCAGATGGGCTTCAGCTGGTAGGCACTTTCGCATGGTTTCATCATTAATCCCAACCACGTTGCCACTGAGATAACTGCATGGAGGCATGTATCCTGTCACCAAGTCATCCTTTATTTACTCGTGGAAAGTCCTTAACACTGATCCAGCTTTCTCGGAGCCAGGTCTCAAAGTGAACAGAACTTCTGACACTCAGTTTATTATGTCAACCAGGATTCCCAGATTAATAGCCCAATCAGGGAACTCATATTCTATGAGCAAAAACAGAAGTTGCTGGAAAAGCTCAGCAGCTCTGGCAGCATCCGTGTAGAAAAAAACAGAGGTATCTTTTCAGGTCCAATGACTCTTCCTCAGATGTTCTAAGGAAGGGCCATCGGACTTGAAACGTTAACTTTTTTTTCTTCACAGATGCTGCCAGACCTGCTGAGCTTTTCCAGCAACTTCTGTTTTTGTTCCTGAATTACAGCATCCCACAGTTCTTTTGCTTTTTATTCATATTCTACGAGGTCCAGCTGGCTGACCTTGTTACAATCACTACAATAGGCTACTGAAGTGGGGCTTGAACTCAAATCAACTGACAGTACAAGTAACACCCTACAATAGGGCCAACCAGGATAGAGAATGAATGGTAGGGTGTGGAGTGACATGGGCCTGCCTGGGCCTGTTTTTGTGCTGTAAACTCTATACAGTCCTAAACCTCCTCAATCAGCTTATTTATTTCATATAAAGTTTCACTTGCCGAGCAGTTCATTATAATTGACAAGTTTGTGAATGATTCTGTTAAAGTGTCATAGAAATCATTGATAAAGATCATCAATAGGAATTCACCCAGCACAGCTCTCGACATGACTTGATTGGTGACCTGATTGCTTGCAGATTT